TTTCTTAATTTTATTAATTTCGCCATGTATTTCAATTTCCCCCCCCCCCCTCCCAATTTACTTTATTGTTTATGGTCTAATTACCATTTGAATTATCTAATATGAATCATTTCGATCCCATGTTTTTTGACACTCTTGTATTACCATGATTATACTATTTCACGATTAGATACGTTGCATGTTGTATGACAGTTTGGTTGAGAAAAATTAGGACTTATAAATTTAAAGTCTGATAATTTTTATCGTATATAAATCACACATCAAAAGTCGAAAAAGAAGTAAAATGAAGAACGAAAATGATCTCAGAGATATATTCTCCCTCAAACAATCGAACCCATAAATATATAATGTTTGAATAATTGCATCAAAATAAAATAGAAGCGGACGTAGTAAAAAAGAAAACAAAATCATATGTTAGATTAAACACATCATAGAAAAGTAACAATCAAAATGAACCCAAAAACATGTTTTTTGCGATTGGAAGCCTTCAACTACGAGTTTTCTCCTGTAGTAGCTGACGACAACGATGAACGTAGAGATGGGTGGAAAGGATAATAGGGATTCATATGGGGAGGTACGATGAACTAGGGGTGTTCATAACTGGATATCCGAAAATTCGGATATCCGAAATTTCGGATAGTTGATTTTTGGTATCCGATTCCGTATCCGAAATTTCGGATATCCGCAATTTCGGATACGGATTCGGATACCAAAACGGATATCCAAAAGTTTGTAATTTTGTTCAAATTTGAAAGTTTTTATATTAGAAAAACATATTTTTAAAATAGAAAGACATATGAAGTAATATATGTATCTAATTAAGGGTATTATGAATATGTTTTAGTTACTAACATTCATATTATAAGACATATGTGATTAAAATAACATATAATGTATAAACTAAAATCAAAATTTTCGGATATCGGATATCCGAATTATCCGAAAAATCTGTAAAACACTATCAAATTCCGATTCCGAAAAATCGGATATCCGAAATTTCGGATATCCGATTTTTCGGATAATTCGGATTCAGAATTTCGGATCGAAATTTCGGATACGGATATTTTTGAACTACCCCTAACGATGATGATGATGAACGTGGGGTGGGTTTTACTATTTTAATTACAATTATTATATAATAAACAAAAAATTAATTGATAAATAAATAAATAAATAAATAAGAACAATATACTTGTTTCATGTCTCGCTCGCATGAAATGAAAACAATGACGTACGAATACGAAAAATGAAGATGGAGACAAACAAACAATTTAGTGATTTACCATAACCCACGATTTATGTAACTTACTCTTAAAAATGATATAAAAAGAGAAAAAAAAAATATCATTTTGTATGGATCATAATTCATAACGTAGGGACAAAAACTGTAATAAAATAAAACCATAAGGATAATAAAATACAAAGTTGAACTAAAACAATGAATATTTGTAAAACCAAAATGATGGAAGTTTTGCTGGTTTTCGAAAGTTTGGGGTAGAAAATGAAATATTGTAGTTTGAATTAAAGAATAAAGTGAGATAAAGACATTGGAATAATATTTTGTAAAAAAACAAGAATAATGCAGAAAAAATATATTAAAAATCGCCAATTTATCTTCCTCATCATCACAAATCCCGAAGCATAACTATGAAATGATACGCACTAAAATTAATACGAGTTTTGTTCGTTCAAATGGTCCAATATTATTTATTTTCGATTGACGAGACTATTAATTATTTCAAACAATTAAACAAGTCAAATATTTTTATTAGATTATAAATGAATTTAAAGATACTGTTCACTTTGTAACGGTAGATGACGATATGGTCAAATTTGACAAAAGCAATAGACAGTTGACCTATTGAAACAATGTTTATCTACAATGGACTAACAAATATTTTTGTACATATTCACAAGTGGTGCATCTAAAAATACCTTTTTCCTCAAAAATGATTAAAAAGAATGAGAAATATGTTATTCAATTTAATACTCCTCAAGATCCAAAATTGATTTGGGTGATTAAAGATATTAGTGGAATATCAAATTGAAAAGGTGATTCCCTTAATTCAATGTACTTTCTAAACATGGTATTATTTGGATCAAAGTCATACTACAACTTTCCTAATTTGGATTAAACAAAGATTAATTAATTAATTAACAAAAAAGATTCTAATATAAGTAGCTAATTAAAAACAAACAACAGCCTCTTACCCTTTGTTGGCCTTTCTCTCTCTTGGTAATCTCTAATTAAACACGTGCTTATTATCCATAATTAAGATTAAGAAGATGAAGATGAACCATTAGTGCCGATAGCATTACCACCGCTGCTAATACTGTCGTTGTGTGGTGGCTGGTGGTGTTCGTGGTGGTTATTTCTATTTGTTAAGAAATCAATTCCACCGCCGGGAGATCCATTGTCGTTGTTGTGGTTGCCGGAATCTTTCTTGATGCCGAACGTCATCTTGTTGTTATGCATCCAGACTTTGAAAACCCCTTTATCGACTCCAATTTCGTTGCAGAATCCGATTATTAAGTCTTCGTCTCGCTTCTGCATCTTCCATCCGACCCGTTCAGCTAATTCGTGCATCTTTTCTTTCTGATCTTGAGTGAATTTTGTTCGGAATCGTTTTTTCCCATTTGAGTTAGACCCGATTATGCTGCCGCCGGCAGAGGATGGGGTGAAGTGAATTGAGGGGTTGTGGTGGTTTTCCGGCGCTTGTGCGGATAAGCCAGCGCTGAGAGCTAGGAGCATGTGTGGTGCTGATGGGTAGTAAGATGAGGAGATCGGAGGTGGAGATGGGGAATCCGCCGGACTAGAACTGTTTCCTCTAACTCCGCCGAGGGAAATTGGTTGTGGTTGAGGTGGTGGAGGGTGATGGCGGTGGTGTGGTTGGTACTCGATGAGGTGTTGAACAGGTGGGCTGTTCAGAAATGATTCGTCCGGGTCACGGCGATGGAAATTGCGATGACAACCACAAGCTGCACATTTTAACGATGTCGGGTCAGTCGGCGTTGACGTCGCCGACGGCATAAACTCTCCACAACCGTCGACTGCGTGTCCGCCCATACTCGCCGCGTGGTTCTTCAAACATTCTCTGTATGTCACCACCACCGGCGTCGGGTTGTGGTGATGCCGAGGTTTATGACGCTTAAGCACTCCGTTTGTAAACGGTGGTGGGAGCTGTTTTTGGACACTATTTGGTTGGATCCGAGCATCCTGATCAAGAGCTTTGATAGAGCTGGTGGTGGGGGTGGTTGTTGTAGTGGTGGTGGGCGGTGGTGATGTTACGTCCATGAGTAATTAACTATGCTTTGGGAATAGGGTTAGGGGTCCATAGATGGAAAATAGTGCTTTTTGGGACGATGACTGTAGATAACCCTCTTATGTGGTGCTGCACTGCTTCTTCTTAACCCTTGGGTTAAGTAATCCACTCATTGGTTAACCCGAATTTCATACATGGGTCACAAATTAAAACAGAATACGGGTCGGGTTATATATATAGCAAAATAGATTCTCTCAAATTGGTTGTTAAATAAGAAGACGTAATTCTGTTTTTTTTACTAATTAGTTGTGAAATAATAAGAATTTAATAATTGATTGTTAAATAATAAGAAATCACAAATAATAAAATTTTAAACCATCATGTAAGAAGCACAACGATGAATAGATTAAAAATAAATTCTACATAAGGAATAAGGAAGATCTTAATTTCAAATATGATTTCAACTCGTGGGTGTTAAAATGACAAATATCGACTATGTATTGCGTGGAGTAAGTCCATATTCACCATAGAATATTAGAATATTATCCAAACAACCTTGAAAACCATAATCGATTTGCAAATTACTACGAACTTTAAAACAACTCAGTGTTTTGTTTCAGACCATCACAAAACAATATATGTCGGATATAAAGCTACACGAAATATGACATTTGGAGTAAAGTACATTATGAACTTACATCTTGTATATTATAGTCAATCCAATCCTCAATGTCAATATAACATGGCAGACCTAATTCTATCGAAATTTTCACCCAAATTATAACAATGTACTTTCATTTAATTTTGAAAAAAAAAATCATGAAAATGACCATTAGAGGGGAAGTTTTATGGTTTGTAGCAATGTACTTTTATTGGATTTGCATAAAATGGCAAAATGGACATAAAAGGAATGATTTTCATTTTATAGCAATGTACTTTAATTTGATTTTCTTTTAATGAGTAAAATGTCGAAATAGGGGTTGTTTTCCATTTATAACAATATACTTTCATTTGATTTCTAGAAAATTGCTAAAAGGACCAAATCATGTACTTATTTCTTTAAAGGATGATGAAATAATGCTAGAAGTACATGTCATATCATGGGAATATGGTACTCTTTATAAATCACATGGATCACACACACATTCACATAGAAATCACAATCTCTTTCTAAAAACCATCATCACTGCCTCTATTTTTAACACCCTTTACTCAGGTGGTTTAGAAATACATATTCAAAACCATTTATTTTTAAAAATAGAAAGTTTTAGAGCTTAATAGTTTTGCAGATACCAAACGGTCGCAAAAAGTATTCCAAAAGTTTAGCTAATTAGAATGAGAGGTGTCAGTTACAATTATCATAACAAGGTACAAGTACCCCACAAGTCTGGGCCTTCTAAATATCCTCGCTTATCCCTAGCCTCATAGTTGTCAATCTGAACACACTTTAAAAGGAGTTAGGTAATGAATTTGGTTAGTGAGTTACCTGAGGTTGACTTATTAGAGTAAGAAGATGGTAATCATCAACTTACTCATTCCACCCCCCCCCCCCAATTTGTAAACCATCTTTCATAAAATAAGGTAGATTACCTAAAGTTTCCAAAACAACTCAATCTAAGAATTTAGTTGCAAAAATCAACATTTCGTCTCAAAACACCAAAAGGGTAAATAAGGAATAACACCACAACTTAATATGCAATCATGTAACTATTTCTACCCTTGTCTATCTCATAAATTCAACCCACAAATAATATGATGGGTACACCTATGACTCATGGTTGGTGCTATAAAGGAAATCACCACCCTTATTGTTTGATACACATAACGCTAGGCATTCGGAAGCCATCCATCCTAAGTCACGCAAGGGGTGACGATCCCATATAAGCATTAGTGACGATTATCTAGAAATCCACCCACTCATCGACTTAACGACCCCTAGTTTGTCATATATCGCATGGATATAACGAGGGATGCTCATAATCCCCCATCTTAGATGTATGCACATGTAAGGATGCTAATATAGTTTTAAAAACCAATTAGTAACTCAAGTAAGAAAAACACCTTTTCAAAATGGTTTTCATGTGTTGCTTAATACATATAGTATTCAAATTTCATTTAAGGAAACAAATAACCATTATATATGATGGGTTTTGAGCATAACAAACAATCATATGTGTGCATGCAACCCTAACTTTGATCTACGTTTTCTCTAATTGAACATACCATCTGAACAATAATGTAGAAACCCTAGAGCACTAGTATATAATCAAAATTACAAAATTAGGGTTAAAAACATACATTTGATTTTTATATAGCAATAACAATCCAAATCC